TAAAAATACATATAAATTGAAATGAGGTTCTAATTTTAAACCCAATACAATTTATAATAAAAAAATTACTAAACACCCTAATTTATATACTACCATTGATCATGCTCTTAGGTCCAAATAAAGAAGTCTTCTAAGTGATCCACTTAGCGATAAGTAAAAAAATCAACCCTCGGTCTTCATTCTCTCTGAATCTCGAGTCATCATCTCCACCAACTTCTTCACTGTAAACGATTCATCTTCACAAACTCACTGTTATCACTTCATCATCTTAAAACTCTTCATTGTCTCCTTCCAATTCAAAGCTTACAAAACACGTCAAACCCATAAACGTGAATAGTATATTAATTGTCATGGAGAATAGATCTCAAAAGATTGTTGTGGTCTGTCTAAAGGTAAGACCTTCTACCTTCTTTCTCTTCAGTTTTAGGTTTACTCTCTTTCTTTTTTTTCCAGAGATTCGTGTCTTCGCGTCTTTAAATCTCTTGATGAAAGGGGATTCAAGAAAGAATCCTACGGAAGAGAGTAAGAAGCGAAATTAGGTATCATTTTTCCCCCCTCAGTGAGTAATCCTCTGGCCACAAAATCCGTTATCTGCACTTTTTGTTTATATTTATTGTTATAGTTTCCAGGGATTTCTATGTATTATGGTCAGAGTTGGAAAAGTAATTCATGTAATATAATTTGACTTTCAATTGCAAATCCAGTTGAAGATATTGAAGGAAGTATTGAAACAAGCAGAAACAGTAGGCTCGTAACTTGGCGAAATTGAGTGCCTGCGAACTGAATAGAATTATTCCGAGAGATCTATCATTTGCTGGTTCGCTGTCAAGTGGACACACTGAGATCAGCAGTCCTCAGGGACGATTACTCTTTCAATACTTAGAGTATGAAACCTCCGTTTGGTCGTGAACCTCTGGCTAACAAAGTATAATGTTCTCCTAAGCAAATATAGCTCTTTTCGTTTTACTTTCATTATTTCTTACTAAGTTACAGTATGTCTCGAATCTCGCGTCAAGAGTTCCTGCGCTACTGACTTACCAGAGCTGTGATCTTCCTCCTTCAAGTTGGGTCTCTGTGTCATGGTATGTTTTGCGTTAAACCTCTCTTGAGTCTTAAGATCGTTACCTCTGTACCTGTAATGGTGATCTTTTAATCCGTTGGTGCATAGGTATCCAATATACAGAATACCGGTTGGTGCAACGCTACAAAATCTGGATGCTTGCTTTTTAGCCTTCCATTCTCTTTCAACACCAACTCCTCAAAGTAAGTAACATATGATTTTTATGTTAACACGATAACATCAATTTATCATTTTCATTGGTGACCTCTTACACACTGTTGTATATATGTTGGAGCAGGTGGTAGGGGTTGTAGTAATTCAGATCCATCCACAAACCTACCATTGCCTACTTTTAGACTTGCATCTTATAAGCTCAAAGTATTTGTGTGGAACCCAAACAGAGAGCAAGAGTGTCGGAAGATCACTTCTTTGCTACAAGCTGCAGACAAATGGCTTAAGTGTCTGCAAGTCGCTCATCCGGACTACATATTCTTCACCTGCATCAGCTCACAAATGAGGTCAACATGAAGATACCTTCTTCACCATCGATTGGCTCTGGTCTGATCAAAAGGCCATTATCTGCTACACTACTGTTGAACCGTGAGTTCGACAATAAATTTATAAACAGTAAAAGGGATCGGAAATTCTCGTTTATTGATATTAACTCGGAAACGGATTACAACGTAAAGAGGGTGATAGGAAAAGAATGCGTCTTGAGCTCGGAAGCTCGGGACCTGTAACTGAATGATAAGAGTATTGAGCTCGAATGAAACAAATGATGGTCGGAGCCGGTAAATGATACGTACGAACTCTTTTCAACCGTCTTTTCGAGTAGCTTGTACTTTCCTGGACGAAGTGGTCGGCCAGAAAGTTCTTTCCCCTTTTGGTGTTAGAGTACTGAAAGCTTAGCTCTCAAATTCCCTTGTACTTGCCCAAAAGTGGAAAAAGTCCCCCTCATTCATGGGATGGAGATCCTATTTATACTAAAAAGAGGGGAGTAAAGTATTAGGGTTTTCTTGGTACTTGTGCTGGTCTATGTAATATATGCCTAAGTGTTTAAGTCTGTATGCGTGTCTAAGTTTGTTTTAAAACCACTAGCTGTCTGTATGTGGTAACCCTGTATGCTTTTGAAGCCTTTGCAACCAAGTTAGACACACCTCTGCCCTTGAAATATGTGACCACGTTGGTCA